GTTCTCAGTTTCTCCCTACCTTTCAACAAGGGTATGGGAGAAACTTTGTCCTTAAAGCGCACTCCAGCTCCGCTCAGACACTGCATCAGGAGGAATACCTGTTGATACAAGCACGTAAATTATGCTCTGTTTATAATATTTAGGGGGTGGACATTATTTACACTTTCGGGTAATTTTTCTGAGGAACTGCTAAGCACATTTTCAAATGCCTACGCAACCAGATAACTTTTATTATCTCACAAGGTTTGCTCTGTTGTTTCACGACTGGCATAATTCTGAGCAAATATCCCTGCCCATGTGATGTTTAAAACCAGAATAAAAGACAGACTGCAAACGTTTACATTTGACTGAACAGAGCAACTGATTAATAACACATATAGCTACTTATGAAAATTCAGACCATATCTCTAATTTCATGGCTGCCTATGGATACTTTGCCCAACATGATTCTGCATCTCATAATTAAGTTGCTGTGTTTTAGAGCTTCAGACTTCAGCTTCCCAAAAAACATTCAGTTCTTGTAGTTATCTTTCTGGTTTTAGTAACAAATTATTTTATACCTTCTCTGCACTTTATTAGTGTATTCTATAGCATTCTTTGTAGATTTTGTTACTTGCACAAAAATCACACTGCATCATTTCTACTTTTTATTCTTCAATTACGAGAGAATATATTAAAACTGTGTTGTAGGTAAAAAGATTGTGAAAAATGCTATACTCAAAACACAGCACTAGAAACAGTAAATTCTTGGTTCTGCACATGGCTTGGTAACAGACTTGCCAAAGGTTTGGCTGAGTATTTTATGGTTACATTTTCAAATGTGTTATCTAAATCTGTCTTTCTCCACTTTCGGCCTAAATTTTAGAATCATTAATAATGCAGGACACCAGCTGAAGTCAATAAGGACTAAAATCAATAAAGTCAATAGTTGTTGGGTATCCTTAAACCCATACCCCATTGAAGTACAGATTCTGAAAAGTGAAAGGTATAAAATCAGTGATTTAAAAAAAAATTCTTCTTTATCCTCTCTACTGCGCTTTTCCTTTTCAGAAATTGTCATTCTATTATATGTTTTACACTAACAGTGATGATGTGAAATGACATATGCTCCCTCGGTAAATTGGCTGATTATTCAAATACACAATTCCTATGATTCTCTAATTTGCTGTGGAACTGTTATGATTAGATGCACAACAAAAACGTGTACCTCTTTTGGTATTTTTCATATCTATGGTTCTTGAAAATCAGATTTGCTCTGATTTCAAACTAGAGATGTTCCATTGCTGCAATTTAAAGCAAATAAATTATAGATTCTTACTACGTAGACAATAAAACTATTTCCTATGTAGTTTAGGAAAAGGACCTTTGACATCTCGGACCGCAAGAAACCATTTTAACTACCAACCCTGCGAATATCCACAGGTGCTTAACATACTTATCTCACATACTTCAAACACAAGTGCAGTAGTATCTAAATTTTGGTTGCTAGAGCACAGAGGCTATGAAATGCTGCTTCCATAACTTAGTTGGATCTGATATGTGATGATTATTTTGGGGGAGCAAGAAACTATTGAAGAAACCGAAGGGAGTGATATGAACCTGCAGGTTTACATGGATAAAACTGAAAGAGAAACAGAGAGTGTTGCTATTCTGCAAAAGTTTATCACGTGCTTTTTGCCAGGGTTCTTATTATTCATTGAGGAACGTTTCAGATAGACTTGAATTTTTAACTTCTCATCTCAGCTCTAGATCATCCTACCTGTATGGGTCTGGCTGGGATGAAGTTAATTTCACTGGGTCTGGCTGGGATGAAGTTAACTTTCTTCATAGCAGCCTGTATGGCGCTGTATTTTCCATTTGTGACTAAAACAGTGTTGGTAAGACACCAGCGTTTTGGTTCATGCTGGGCAGTGCTTGCACAGCGTCCGGGCTTTCTCCCCTTCCCCTCAGCCCCGTCCTCCCCCTCGACTCTGTTCTGTACCTGGGGGAGGGAGGTCAGAGAGAGACAGTGCAGGGTTCTTTCTGCATCTCCATAGGAAAGGCACAACAATGAACAGCTTAATAAAATAGTTACTTTTACAAGAAAGAAAAAAAAGTATGTAAACAGTAATTAAATCTTAACGTTCCTTCAGCCACTGGGAACCCCGAATTCGCGCAGCGTCGGACAGACCCCAGATGGGTTCTCCTGCAGCACACTGTGCAGATCCCACCCGTGGAGAGGTTCCTCCTCCCTCCCATACCGTGATGCCTTTTATTTTGTGTAACAAACAAAGTCACATATCTTCTCCTGACAGGCTGGGAGGCCTGTCATACCTCCGTCGTAACACCCGCCAGCGCACAGTGTGGGCCAGCACAGGGCACTCCAGCAGACTCCTATGCAGCGGCTACTCATGCTAACACAAGGGCTTCTCAAGCCTTTTGTACAACACTCAGTGGAGCAGACGTGGCTTGCCCAGTATCACCAACTCCTCAAATACAACATCTTCCGCAAGACTCCCAGTACACCCTCCCCAGCGAGTACGCTGCCATGGGAAGAGTGAATAAATTAATTTTTCTGCTTTGCTCATATGTGCAGCTTTTGCCTTTGCTATTAATCTGTCACTATCTAAATCTATGAGCCTTCTCGCCTTCCTTCTATTTTCTCTCCGTCCCGCAAGAGAGGGTAGAGAGCGGCTGTGTGGGCATTTGGCTGTTAGCTGGGGTCAACCCGTACTGTAGCAGGAGCAGAACGTGTGGCCAGAACCGTAGTAATTTTGTAACTCATTTTTTAGCTTTCTCTTTTAAACAATGGTGAAAAAACTTGTAAGAAATAAGAATGGCAAAAGGTTTCCAAGGTTAAGAGCGGTATAAAGAAAGTTCTGACAACTGGGCATGTGCTGTCTACAGAAAGAGACTGAATAGCAACTCAGGTGTCTGCATCTAAATGTCAATGCCATTGGCCTGCCTATGTAAAAGAAGCTGAATAATTATCAAAAATGAAGGCGGCAACAGGGAAAATATTCAAAATACTGGGGAGAACCATACAACTGGTGAAGCGATGGGACAAGCTGCCACGACAAGCTGCTAAATCACCTTAATAGAGATATTTATGGAAACCATACATCGACCTACTGGATATGATTAACAATAATGAAATCAACCCCGATGTGAGATGGGACTACAGAGCGGAAGAACTGCTGGAGGACTACTTCTTCTCACGTATTTCTTTGAGAACCCACCAAGATTGATTTCATTTGGTATAACATAAAGGATTCCTGGCTCTCTTTTTTCCTAACAGTATTATTATTTTATGTTCATAAAGCACACGGTTTCATAGCTACACGGACGGAAACTGAACAGTGAATTTCTTTTTTGATGTCAGCATGCTTCACGGTATTTTTAAAAAGCCTGGGAGACCGTGAGGCTGCATTTTGTAGCCATGCACTACTGCCACACGAGGTAAGTCGGGCCACTGTTAGCTACGCCGGGCCACAGGCCCTCTTGCTGCTCCGCTTTCACAGAGACAAGAATCATAGAATAGAATCATAGAATCATTAAGGTTGGAAGAGACCTCCAAGATCATCGAGTCCAGCCATCAACCCAACACCACCATGCCCACTAAACCATGTCCCTAAGCACCTCATCT